TTAAAGAAAGGAACAGGACGATCATTTCGTAAAAAAGATACAGAGATTCGAGTAATGGTAGACGCTTTCTCAACACTTTATTTAATAGGTCACGTAATATTATATATATATGTGTGGTAGCTATTTTAGTTTATATAAAATTTCAATCTTATAGATTAGATGCATTTATTTAATAAGTTTATTCAAAAGTATAATATAAAATCTGATATTATTTATATTGTATTTTATAACATTATATATTATCTCGATAGAAGTATCCAAAGAGGAGCAAGGTAACTATACTTGTTATGTGGATAACATTAACATGATGCGTTTAAAAGTCATCGTTATATCTAAAACTCGGCTTTTGACCCAAGGTTAGCAACACGAAAATTATAGTAAAATATATGAATGAATAAAATTACAAATATAATTATGAAAAAAAATAGTGATAATAAAGTTTAATTAAACTTTAACTAATTAAGTTATTAATAACATACATGCACCAATATCTTCATGTCTATAACATTAAATTCTTATAAATCTATATTTTATTTATACATTCTATTTTTGTATAGCTTTTTTCCGGCATTTGGGTTACTTGGGAATTATAATCTTCTTGATTTCGATCTGCTATTGCGCGGGTATAGTAATGACTTGCCGACAGAGAAATAAATTTCAGTCCTTGTCACAAGATGATCCATCAGCGGAGGAAGTTGAGTAGTTTACCGAAATGCAAAATACATTAGCAACATTTTGTTGATTTTATAAATAATAAATGCGATAAAATATTATGTTAAATTGAATGAAATTTTTATTTTCGATTGTTAGTCTTTTAATAACCTAGTGCAAAATGCACTAATTTTTATATATATTTATGAAGATTGAAGAATTAAAATTTATCGGAGAAATATTCACAATTAAGCTACTTATTTTTTAGCTAACGATATAAATTATACAATTATGCCATTTTTATTATGCACTTCTAATGTTATTGTTGGTGAGTATTTAGCATTATATGACAGATCAGTTATCGATTGAGAATACTCCTCATGGCTATCTCTTTCGCATTCCCTCAGTCCGATTTTTCTTGGCATACGATGACCTTAGTCAAGTGAAAGGGGGACCTGGTACGAGACAGCTACAAGGCGTACTGTCCGTCTCCAGACAGTTCAGTTTAGTTTCAAAATGGCCATGTTTTATTGTAGCTCCCGGCTTTTTATTTGCCGTGCTCATTAACGAGATAGTGTAATTAATTGTACAAAAGACTGACTGGAGATTAGTAACGAAATAGAATGAAATTTCAAACAAGTGTTCATGCGATCCTCGCGGCTTTCTCCATTATCGCTATTCAAGAAAGTGTTGGTGAGTTTCTATCGTGAATGGAACAGCTTTCCCAATTACATTATGGTATTCTTAGTCATATATCCTTAATGTTCTATTTTAATAATGTGTAGAATTATATAGATAAGAGACAAAATTGAAAATATATTCCATCGAATATTTTATTTTTAGTTAACCAGTGTAATTTTTCTTTCTTAATAAAAACTGTGGAATACCAATATTTTATGTAGATATTCTTTAATTTTTATACGTTCTATAAACGAAATAAATTGTCTAATTTAAATATATAAACAATTTTTATCATAAACTACGACTTATATTGTTGTCTTTATTATTGTTTGTCTTAATTCTTTATACATAAAAATTATAAGTAGAAAATCAATAAATCCTTTTTATTAATGTCATTTTGTGTGTGTGTGTGTGTGTGTGTGTGTGTGTGTG